AGTCGTTCCCCGTTGTTGTTCATAATGTCGCGTCCGTACGCGCCCATTATCTTGGCATCGCAGCACCAGTCTCGCCTCCTACCAGTGCGTGCGTTGGCGTCCATTAGCACCACGAGATGGTCACGGCTGTGAACCTCCCGGATCGCTGCGTCGAGAGCAGTCCAGAAGGAGTCCTTGGCGTTAACATCACCGCCCGCGGTGGTGCGGACAGTTTCCGAGGGGGCGTACCCCACCACGAAAGTTACTCCGCAGGTGCGGCCAATTTGTAGACGCACCTTCATCAGCCTCGGGCTAATGCACTCCACCGTCCTACCTTCCTCGCCCACACTCTCCCACATGGCCTCCTTGATCGCTATGCCCACACCGTGTACGCCCCTCTTGTCCTTGGTGCCAGCACGGGCGCCACTCCAGATGATCACGTACCCGTCGTGTGCAATTGAACCTTGCCCCGCTCGTCGGGTCTCCTGAAGTCCTATCACATCACAGCCGGTCGCGGAACAAATCTGCATGACCGTCATCACGTTGTGACCGATGGGGTTCCTACCGCTGTAGGCGAGCGTGCGTACGTTGAACGTGCCGAACGATAGGTCGCCCTCTCGTGCCTTATTCTTCGCAGCCTCCTTGACGGCCGCTGCGGTCTCGTGTCTCTCTCGGTTCACCTCGCGTTGCGGGTGTGCTTTCTTCCGTATTTTCCGAGCGGCGAATTTCCTCGCATCAATCCATCTCTGCAGAGCTCGGTTCTTGCCTGTGGTGCTTTGACGAGGAGGGTGCAGCACTCCCTCCCCGTGGTGCCCGCGGTTGTCGCCCTTCTCCTGCGAGCGTTGTTTACTGACGTGGTGTTTACGAATCTCTCTACTCCTCCAGCTTCGTGGGCCACGCTTTCCGCGACGGTGGTTGCCAGGTGCAGTTTGCCGCTTTGCATTCCTGCCGCGGGAACAGTGTCCATACACACCTCTCGCCACTACCACCGTCTGTGCATCCTCACCGCCACGCTGAGCCAGCGCGGCGGTGAGTTGCACCTTGGGACACCACCCGCCTACTATCTGTTGTGGCCTGGTTCGCCCGCGAGGGACTCACTAGGTCGATTTCGGCCCCGGCCGGGGAGCAAGCCGAGGGGGGGGATGTTGTAGATGTATATATGATTTGCTCTTGTTGCGTTTTTTCTTCGCGATTGTCGAGCCTATTTAAACCATGTAGGTAGGTTACGTTTGCTTTTGTTCTTCATGAGTAACAGGATTTCGTGAGCATAGCTTTTCATTTGTCCCATATGCATTTAAGCGTAAGGCAGACTGTAAGATCACGGAAAAGCCAGCAGTAACCAAATGCGCTGCCGTTTAAGCACCGTCCGACATCCTCTCGTATGCCATTGATCGGCGTGCCTGAACGATCTGACCAACAGAACGGCGCCGTGACCAAAGAGGGGGACTCGTGCACCATTGAGCGCCAGGAGTTAAGGAGGGCAAAGGCTCGAAGACTTGCGTCTGTAAAAGGACGTTGCCTTCTTTCACAAGTGGTACGTGAAGTCCGTTCGGGTCGACAGTAACAACATGATATTGGTCGTTACTCCCTCCGTTCCTTTCGTACGCTCAGCTTTGCCTGGTGGCTGGTACCCACCAATACCTTCAACTGCGGCAGACGTCCTCAACAACCTTGAACAGAGCGCATACCACACCCAGCACCTTGATTTCGGAAGCAGGTTGAACGCATTACCTCCGGATGAGCTATACCCTTCGTAATTCTAAAACAGTGCTCTCATCGCGATTCAGAGTCGCGTCCTGCATCGGCTCGATCTGAGCACAACCTCACAGCTACTAGAGTCGGCGCGAGCTGAATTTCGCGCCGCTGGTGACGCGAGCGGAGCATCCGAAGTGGACGAAACGCTCATCAAGATAAAAGCCGACTTTGTGATGGAGGCAATGGAGATGGCACGCAAGGTTAGTCGAGGTAGCCGTGAGGGAGCTGGGTTGCGAAATGTGTCCTGAAAAGCAAACAGCTCAGCAGTGGGTGCTTCATGCAGCGTTCAGCAGAACGCGTTGTGCAGTGCGTAGTCAACTATCGGTACTCCCCGCTGTCCTGCAAGGACTACCGGGGAATAAGGCCCTCTAGTCGGGGTAACCAAGAAAAATGACTGGTGGTGAAGGCGTGATTAAGGGGCAGCACGCACGACTCCTCTTCATGATGTCCTCTACAGATGACAATAGAACGCCCCACCTAACCCTCGAAACTGACCTTGTTTGAGCGCCTTCCGTTTTGGCTCCTTTGACCAGAATTTAGAATGGTGTCAATTTTTGTCTTGATTTCAAAGAAAACGTGTGGAGGTAGACGCGTGAAATGTATGTTTTGCGCAGCCTCTGCTACCGCCCTGTGCGAGAATCAACGATTTCTGTTTTTCGTGATGCCTTCCGACTGGTCTGGTGTGTCTGTTGTGAAATTTCTGGTGCTCTTGCGTTTGTTTTCAACATTAGTCAACATCAAAATTCTTCTTCTGCACCCCCATGAAGCGTACAGGCCAAAAGAAGAGCGTGGTGAAAGCATAGGAAACACATGCTTCCACCGGCCGGGCAATACTAGTATTCGCCCCATACACCTTGTCTCTGCTTATGATCGCCGCGCACCAGCGGACTACTCAACCGACAGGCATGTTAACCCTTTGTCGCTGAGCTTGCGCACCGTGTTGCTTTTCGCGGTTTGCAGTCCCGAGACTACGATCGCCTACAAGAGCTAATGTTTGAGGCAGTTCACTACTTCGCTATCCTGGCACGCCACGGAAAAATCAACCGACACGACTCTCTAGGCGCGAGGTGTGTACGCACGTCACCTGCGTGTGAATGTGTGATTGTGATTAGCACGGTTGACCTCCTCGATAGTTACTACTCCATTGAGTATTTACATGGGTATTCGGTTTGAATGTCCACACGAAGTATGCGAACGACTGGCAACAAGCGAAGCTACGTCGCGAAGTGTTCAGCACAAGAACGGACAGGCCGAGACACCCAATCTCCCCAAACTACCCATTGTCACCCCTATCGAACATGCCGCGACCCATCGAAGCGACCGCCGAGACGCAGGCAAGAGAACATTCGAGCGCTTGCGACAACCCCGCCGTCTCTGCCGCGAGTACGCCCTGGAAGACGGCCGCAATTCCCGGGAGGCGGCGGCTGCACTTGCGAAGAAGTGCAAGTACGCCAAGGCGCGATTGCGACTGGACGATGCTCGTCGTTGTTTCGACTGGGCGGGAGATGCGCAGGAAGACCTGCGGAGGCTTACCAGCGTTGAGTCTAAAGTCCAGGTGCTGAAAGCAGTTTATAGCCATCCGATCGTTGTAATAGAGCGATTTTTCTTCATCGCAGAACGATGTACTTGCTATTTACCGTGGACATGGGACGGATGACGTTTCCTTTGGACCTACAGGAGAGGGAGCATGGTTGTGGTCGTGCTTTGCAGGTTCTGCCAAACCGTGTAACAATCTGACGTAAGTGAAGAGTGAATTTCCCGTAATTGCATTGCTACGTTTACGCGCATGCACCAATAAGCACCCGTTAGTTTGTTCCGTAGAATCAAGGTGCAAAGTGCCATCGTGTAGGAAACGCGGTTGTCTCAGTCGTTAGGACTCCTGTCATTCTCGCCGCCGTAGGATCTTGTGCGTATACGTGTGCCTTTTCATTTGGTACGTCTCTGATTTTTTCAAATGTTTTGCATTTCCTGCGCTTTCGTCGTTGGTTTTGCGTCCCCCCCGCACTTGAAGATGCGGGAGAACGCCACCTGCGGGGATCGCCTGACGGAGAGTGTCGCGAGCAAGCTGCAGTTTCTAACGCCGAAGGACTACTCGGGACTATTCTCGCAGCTGTCCCAGGCGGCGATGGCGTACGAGGTCGCAAAGGATCAAGACGGGATAAAGGTAAAAAGTAATTCACAAGTATGCATTCATCGAGGCAATCGTCATGTGTTCTGCCTTGCAGGTTTCGGCAAGTAACACACGGTGCCGACCGCGGCTCGAGCTAACGTGTATTACGATGTCTCAACCAGTCCCATTTCCCCTCTTATCGTGCGTCGTGTGTGCTTGCCTCTGTGCCTTCGCTTCCGCCCCTGCGGTTCATGCGAAAATAGGTGGTGCGCATAGTGAGGGCCGCGTTGGAGCTTGTGCTGTCGGCCGAGCAGCGGTGGATGCAAGCAACCGACGCGCTCAAGCTGCGGCAGTACGCGTCCGCGTCACAGCTCATGAAAGAAACCAAGCGCTTCATCTCCGACGCGACGAAAGGGTGTGTTTGGGTTCTACAGAGAAAAAGAGTCATACGAGTTAATGCCCCAATCTCGCCGAGATACGGCACTTATGGACGGATTCATATCGCTATTTTGTTCCCTTTTCCTCGGTGTTGGCTGTTTTCCTTGAGAGATCGTACATGACAGTAGTTGCTTTGCCCCATTCGCATGCTGTGGGGATGGTGTGCCTGCCTTTCTGCGTGGTTGTGTATGCTGCCGGAAAGCCTTCCCTTCGTGAGCCCGTCGCTGGCGCGCGCCGGAAAGGTCCTGTCGCCTCCCGGTGGTCTGAGTCCAGTCGACATCGTGGCGGAGCTGGCGGCCCTAGACGGTCTGAAGGACCACACCAGGTCCATTAGGGCCCTTGAACAGGCGAGACCCATACAAGTGACCGAGCGGGGTGTTTTCGAAATTTGGACTGGCTCGGTGTCGTCTCTCGCTCGGCTCAGCGCGCTTCTGCGGATACGCGAGAGAGGTTTTGCGGGATGGGTGGTGGAAGGAAAGGGCACGGGGGGGGTGTTGTCAAGTGTGAAGCTTTCGTGCAAAACTGTCGCTGTCTGTGTACACCAACTCTTTAGATTCGTCTGCGATATCGGTAATGGCGCGCCGATCGCACATGAGCAACCATATTTTCTGTTTTGGATACGGGTGAAATAGCGAGTATTGGCATCTGCAGCAGGGGGATGATATCACATACCCCCCCCGTTCCCCGTCCCCGACTCGAAATCGAAACTGACGCAGGGCATGCTAGACAAAGCGCAGCAGCTGAACATGAGCGCCCGAGAGGTGTTTGAGTTTACCGCACGCTGCTGCAGTACAACTAGCAGGTGTCGGAGCGGCGGCGGCGGCGGCGGCGAGAGCAGTAGTAGCGTCCGTTGCAGCAGCAGCCCTTGCTCAGTGGCCGGAGGAGGTACTACCGCTGGCGCTGGTGCCGCCGCTAGTGCTGGCGATGACAAGAAGATGGACAATGACGTCACGGGGTTTCCTCTGTCCGTTGAAGAGCTAAACGAGGGCGAGGCGTTGCTCGTCAGGGTCCGTCGCTCCACTTCGGCCCCCGCCAATCCGCATGATGGCAGCGCCAAGCCGAAGTCAAGGATGGCTGTCCACCTGGGCGTACGCCATCGAGTTGAGGTAGAACGCCGTCGTACGTGTGCTTTTGTATGTGCTTGGTGCGGGGCTACGTACCCCGCACAGGTGTTGCTGTCGCTTGCCCAAGATCATCGACTTATATGCAGCAATGCGTTTGTTCATACCAACGGGAGCACAAAAATATGCCTCATTCAGCGCCGGTTGGTTGCACATCTCGCACCTTCCTTCATCAGTAGGCCCCAAACATGCACGGCATACTACTCGCAACGATCTGCATGTGCTAATGATTCGTTGAACATCTCCTCGGCTAATGTTTCTCGACCTCCCGAAACCCAAAGGACCTTCTGGACGACGTGTCCGAGACAGAAGACATCATCACCCGCAACAAGGCTCTCGAGCGCGGCGACAAGCTCATGGCCGCGTTTTGGGCCTCCTTCGGAGTAAGCGCGGCACCATCCGCCGCAGACGCTGCATCCGCAACAGCATTGGTGCATCCGAGCACGGAGACAGGCCAACGCGACGTTCGTTCTACCGCCGTAGACACAAGAGGCGCCACCATGGCGGGAGTCGTCACCGTTCGCATGGCTGCTACTACAGTAAGTCACGCCACAAGTGCCAGCAAGAACACCACCGATGTAGCTAGCAAAGGCGCAACGAAAAGAGGTGCAAACGGGACGGAAAGGGGCGACCAACAGGTGCCGGGACCCGGCGGAGCGCTGAGCCCAGAGACTGCTTCGAGGTGCCTTCGGCTCCTAGCGGAGGCGAAAGAGGCGTACGACGGGCAAGGCTTCGCGCAGCAGGCGGACAAGGCGGCCAGGTAACAAGACGTTAGCGAAGGTTTCATACCTTGTTTCGATGGACGGGTGGGCGGGAGGGCGGGCGAACCTACGGACGGGAGTGCATACCCATGTGCCCCGCAGCGATACGTGATCATTTCTGTTGACAGCATCAAGTTGTATGCATAGTTATTTATTTGTGATTTTGACGTCGGTTGGGAAATTGTAACGGTCTGGCGAACTTCCTGACTACTGAAAACATGTCTACTCGCGATCTCGACCCCCCCCTCGCGGCAACAAGGCTGAGAGCAGGGCTAGTCGCCGATCGCTGTCTTGCCAAAGCTTCCAGCCTTGCTCCACCAGCGGCCGCCACCTCTACCGCTTTCGCCACCACCGCCATGGCCACGGCCGCAGCCGATGCACAACGCAGCGAAGCAAGAACAACTCCTGCCATTGGTGTCGACGGCGAGCAAAGGCTGGCTCCGGTGATGGGGGATGGCGGCGTTGGGGTGGAGGGTGGCGGCGGTAGGGAGAGGGACTTTGAGGCAGCCAGAGCGGCGGTAAAGGAAGCCGAGGAAAACTACGAAACAGCTGGTAACGAGATGGGCGTGCTGGTGGCGAGGAGGATGGAGATGTCGCTCAGGGGCGACGAGGCAATGGTTTCGATAGACCCGCTTCTCGAGAAAAGGTGACGCTTGTCGATGGGTGCTATTGATCCGATGATTTGCAGGTTTATAGTGGAGGAAATTTTGCTGCTTCGCCTACAGCACAAGCAGCAGCAACAACAACCATAACAACGAGTACAGTTTCAGAGCGTCGTCTTACTAAAGGTGCTGCAGCGTAGAGTTTAGGCGAAGTTTTGGGTAGCCCGTACATAGTGCGACGTGTCCTGGCGAAACACCTGATACACTGAAAAAAGTTAAGGGTACGCTGCCGAAACGGCATGAGCCGGAAAGGGGTACACGTTTATGTGTGATGGATCGACGGTGGCCAGCAACTCTCGTTCCTCTGTTTCTTCTGAGTTGTTGTCTTTCACGTAGCACAAATGTCGTCTTTACTTGCTTTCTATTATTCCGATGCCACTTTCAAAACACAACGTGCGTGTTTAGGGCTTACGTTGCCGTTGTGGAAGGCCTCGATCAAGCCAGGCGTCTCTACACGGCCGCAGGGCCGCAAGGGTTAGAGGGGTTGGCCCGCACCCGAGACCCCCTGGGCCTAGTGAAGCAGGTGGCCATGCGCGACGGACAACGACTTAAGCACGAAGCCGTCAGAATGCTCAGGCAAGGGACACCGCAAATAAACGTGATTGCCATCACCCGTTCTTGGTGTCACTAGGGACACGTTATCTTCTTGACATGGTCTGGTTTTAGCCGTGTACCACATGGTGTTGGGTCCACCCGCCAGCCAGCGGCAATTCAGAATTTCTAGAGGCTCGAGGGCCGAGGCTTACTACGCAAGCGTAAAGGGTGTTTCCGTACAATCCAACAGGTTCATCGTATGTTTATTCGATTCGAATACCACAGGTCTAGGAAAAGCCACCGAAACCAGGCCAACAAAGGAGGATATCCTCAATCCATGCCCAAAGCAAACGGTTCAGTTGTTCTGCTCGCCGTAGACACAGCGACGCCGTCGCAGGAATTTTCTGCTCCCAGGAGGGCGATACCGATATTGGCATTGGTTGGGTTTGTTATCATGAACTATCTAGCAATGACGCATAAGATTAGCGCCTTGGCACTTCAACTTTATCTGCCGGACGCGAAGCAATGAGCGCTGTTCATTCGCAAGCTCGTGCCGGACGTGCCTTTCCTCGATGCCCTTCCGGTCAAAGCAACGCATCGTTGCATGGTATGGTACCTCAGTGGTTGATCATCATATTCGGCGTACTATGCGTGCTACATATCTGTTCTGTCAGAGGCGGAGACGTAGAGGCGTCGAGAACACTGTGCGAGCAAGCCCAAAGCTGTTTTTCCTTCGTCGACCGAGAGGCTTTGGCTGATGCAACCGCCGACGTCTATGCTGCGGTGCGTGCTTGCTGCGTTGCGTGTATACCAAGTGTGCATCATGATTGGAGGAGGACTGGATTATTTCTGTCGCCGTCGTCGTCGTAGGCGTTGCTTTTCTTTACATTCTTGGCGATGCTCTACCTACAAGAGACCAGATTGTGCACGCCGTGTCCGTGGGATTCAAACAATGAGGATGTCCTGCCATCCAGCGCAGCGATAGAAACACGACGCCTACACTAGGTTGCGGCAAAGAACAGCGATGTTGGAGCCTGTGAGAAGCGCGGGTAAAACAATTTCTAAACCCCAGACGCAAACTTATGTCAACTACGGAACGCCTCTGGAGGACAGGGATCGGCAAGGTACCAACTAATCGTGTTCTGTTCAGATCCTCTGGCATCGACCAGGTGTTCATCAAGATTCGATTGTTGCAGCAATTCTAACTAAGGAAGGTAAATTACTCCAAAAATCTAGGCTTATACGAAACCTGGCTCATGCAGATTCACATGGTGACAAGGCTCGCCTCCGGCGATGCCGCCGTGGCGGCGGCCGAAGCGGCCTTCGCGGACGGGGCGAGCGACAAGGCGGCGCAATTTCTGCGGGAAGCGAAATCCTCATACCACCGTGCACAGGTTAGAACCAGGATGCCAAGGGAAGGGGGTCGGGAAAGCTTCGTGCTCCCGACATCCTGTAGGTAGTTGGTCGTTGGCGCTTGAACACGGAGTGAGGAAAATTAGTCCATGTTTGTTGATGTTGTCGATTTCATGTGCATTGTCTGCACTAAGAGCAGGCGTGGAAAATAAACCAAACGTGCCACCTTTTCCCGAGGATGTGAAATCCCGTGCTTTTACCATGATGGACACGCATGAGGTCGTCGAGGGGCACAGAAAAGCTTCAAGCTATGCTCGAACATTGGTAGGAGAACGAGGACATCGGATAGGTGTGGACGACTCTTTGGATTGTTTTCGCCGCCCGAGAGGGCACTTTGAAGGAGGTGGTTCCAGAATTGATGTGGGGGAACATTATTGCGGCTTGGAAGAAATCGGCGATCAGCTTTTCTCCGTGCCTTCATGATGGAGTGGGTGACTGACCGCCACAGTTCTTTTAATCGGTCATACCCGGCCTTGGTTTGGATCATTTTCTGCTGTGCCGTACTTGCTGTCTCTGCGCTTGGTGTGCTTCGACTTTCGGAAAAAACAACCAACAACGAAACAGTTGGCATACGAGGACTTGGTAGACCAGGTCACGACCCTCCTAGAAGAACGCCCTGGCGATCTCGAGGCGGCTCGGAACGCGATGGAGCTACAAGACAACATCAATGCGATCTATGACAGGTGATCAATAGGGGGGGGGGGGGGGGGGG